TTACAGAATTTCCGAAGTGTCGAAGTGCCAAAGTTCCAAAGTCCCGAAGCACAGTATTGCCTAAGTACTAATATACTTACACAGTGGAAGAAGAAGAATGTTACACTGTATACAAATTTAAATAAAAAGTATACAAACGTAGCCACGATTCAGCTGTAAGCATTTGCAGCTCTTACAACAATCAAGTAATACACATTAATATAAAATGTAAGTTACTTAGCCAGTCATGTAATGACAGGAATGAATAAGTAGATAACTTCCCACGGTATTAGGGAGTTATCTACGAAAAGGCTGAAAGACCTAAATTGGTCTTTCAGACAAATTTACTAATACTAAGTAAAGATTACTTAGTATTAGTAAATTATGCCCCTACTCGCTATACCGTGAGTAGGGGCATGTCTATTAAACTGTAAAAAACAAACACAAAAAACACCTCCCCCCTCCCCCTCCTAACCTGAAGGGGGACCTATTGCCCCGGCTCCCACCCTGAGCGATTGGGTGGGGGCCTAAGTAATTGAGGGACCTAATATCCTTCCCCTAAATACTAATTGGTTGAGGGCCAGGGGAAGACATTAGGTCCCTAGTATTATTTAGGGCCCCACCCGCACTAATAAAATTGGGAGCATGAGAACATTAGTTCCCCTAATTGAAGTATTTAGGGCCCCACACCCACCGTTCGGGGGTGGGGCGAGGAGGCAATGGAATCCCCCTTCAGGTTAGGAGGGTGGGGCCAGGAGGAGGGCGTTAGGTCCTACGCCCTCTCCTGGTTTTAGGGGCTCCCACCCATTCTAATTTGGGGGCCCTATATCATCTCTAATTTGGGGCCCCACCCACTGGTCCCCTAATTAGTATTTAGGGCCCCCACCCACAGCTCAGGGGTGGGGGCCATGGGGAGGACATTAGGTCCCCCCCAATTAGTATTTAGGGCCCCCACCCACAGCTCAGGGGTGGGGGCCAGGGGGAGGACATTAGGTCCCCCCCAATTAGTATTTAGGGCCCCCACCCACAGCTCAGGGGTGGGGGCCAGGGTGGAGGAGATTAGGTCCTCCCTAATTAGTATTTAAGGACCTCACCCACCGCTCAGAGGTGGGGGCCTGGGGGAGGACAATAGGTCTCCCCCATTATTGTACTTTAGGGCCCCCACCCGCCGCTGAGGGGAGGGGGCCAGTAGGGGCAACAAGTCCCCCCCTATTCTAATTTAGGGCCCCCATCCGCCGCTCAGGGGTGGGGGCTCGGGAGGGGGTACCCTTTTTTTTTTTTTTTTTTTAACAGTGAGCAGCCACAGGCTGCACACTGTTTACTAGACATGGCCCTACTCGCAGTATAGCGAGTAGGGGTATAATTTACTAATACTAAGTAATCTTTACTTAGTATTAGTAAATTTGGCTGAATGACCAATTTAGGTCTTTCAGCCTTTAGGTAGATAACTCCCTAATACCACTAACAGACACACACACACTCTAACAATAACACACACACACACTCTAACACTAACACACTGTGGTTGTGGTTGGTATTAGTTAATACCAAGTGGGAAAAAAAAGCAGGTTTAATTTTTTATTTTTTTTGTATTTTGTGTTGGTTTTTTTACTTTTACTCTTTTTAAAAAAAATATTTCTCCTTACTGTTTTGATTTATTTTAATATTTTGTAACTTGTTTTCCCCTTTTCATATATATATAAAAAAAAGAGAAAATCCTGCACTCCATCAAATACAGCAAATTACAATGCCCGGTGCTTGTCCAGCAAAATATAAAAAGAAAAATAAGATAGCACTCTCAGGACTGTATATGAAAAATAAAACAACTTTTAATGCAAAAATCAACGTTTCAGTCTGTTAACTACAGACTTTCATCAGGATTAATACAAATCTAATCAAAATAGACATATATAGTAAAATACAAATTGATAATCAACTTACCCTTCACCAAACCACTTGTTCCTCCCTCTGAGCTCAGTCTGTCTCCCACGTGGGTTCGGCCGGCGGCCGGACGTGCGTCAATGACGTCATCACGTGACGCCGGCGTCATGACGTCATCACGTGGGCAGACGGCCGGCAATGTCATTGGGAGCTGGTTGTTAGGAAAGAAAGACTTCCTAGCAACCAGTAAACTAAAACAAATCACCTAAGTAGAAATGAGGGGGCACAAAACTGTAGCAGAATATCATGAAGCAAAAGATCCAATAGTTATACAGTTGCACAAAGTAATCCTCACTGGTAGGCAATAGTAAATGGCATTGACTTTCACTTTGAAAAACACAAAAAGAGTATTGGTGTAACTATACACATATATACACAGAAAGAATTGAGACTAAACTTCAAGATCATTACCCACTAACTTGAAATGCATCAGTGTAATTACCATAACTTCAAGGCTGTTTCTAGCCTTAACGGTACAGTATGTATTACAAATATTTGATGGTTAAATGCTATAGATGAAAAAGGTACATATGCTCCTTTCTAGAAAATAAAACGACAATAATATAAGGCCCTATCTTAGGTTAATTGTCCAACTCCGGATAAAGACCAAAAATAATCTATATTAAGGCTGCAAACAAAGAAACAACAGCAACCCTAGTGGTGTTAATTGATGAAACTCTATTATACACCATGTACATTTAATCTATATATTAAACAGTAGTAAATCGTACAAATAACTAACTCGAAAGGAACCACCAGAGGGAAACAGCAACAGACAACATAAATCTGGACTGCGGACGAGGTCACTTCCAGAGTACTACAGATATTACAAAAAAGCAGATAATGAATATTTTTCATTAAGTCCATCTGGATAGACAGTTTGTAATGTTCTGATCCAGAACAGCTCCCGTTGAAGGAGCAACTTTTTACGGTCTCCACCCCTTCTTGGCTCAGGAACATGGTCAATCGCCATCAATTTCATAGAAGGCAAAGAATGTCCCAGTTCTAAGAAATGCTTCGCTACCGGCAATTCCGACTTATTGTCCCTGTAAGCAGTTCTAATGCTAGATCTGTGATTTTGGATTCTCTCTCTCAAGGGTAAATCAGTTTTTCCCACATATGTTAAACCACAGGGAGACATAAGTTTATAGACAACAAAGTCGCTTGTGCACGTCAGACGGTGGCGAATGCAAAAGCTGGCCCCTGTGTGGGGATGGGAGAATGTTTTCCCAGGGGTCATATGCCCACAGGTAACACACCCGAGGCAACGATAACATCCTAAGTTTTGTGGGACAGTTTCCTTGGAATAGCAATGAACGGGGTCAGAATTCACCAACAAATCTCTCAAATTCTTGTTCCTTCTGTAACAAAACATGGGAGGGTTCTGGAACATAGGAGGTGGTGTGACATCATTTTTTTAACAACCTCCAATTTTCTTCAATAATACGTTTAAAATTGGAGGATGCTGTAGTGAAAGTAGTTGGAAAAATCAATCTGTTGGTCGGTGTCTTTGGACTAGAGGTTCTTGTTGTAGCAAGGCACTTATTAAGTGCTTTTGATAGAATCTGACTAGTGTATCCCCGTTGTCGAAATGTATCCCACATCATATCCAGTTGTTCCTGTGCTCGATTTGAATCGGAGTTATTCCTCAGAACTTGCAAGAACTGTGAATAGGGCAACAAATCTTTTAAAGACTGCGGATGGAAACTATTAGCCTGTAGGATAGTATTTCGATCCGTCAGCTTGGAGTATAATGTATAAGCCAAACCCAGCCCTTCACGTAGGACTCTAATGTCTAAAAAGTCGACAGTAGTCGAATTCATCACTGCTGTTAGTTCAATGTTGCTAGTGCAGGCATTGATGCACCGAATCATGTCTTCTGCTTCCACTATAGAACCCTTAAACACCATGAAGATGTCATCGATATATCTGACATACTGCAGGATATAATCCTTGTAAGGTTCCACAATATGCCTGATTTCATAACAGTACATATAGCCATTGGCATCCATAGGTGCCATTGCTGCACCCATTGAAGTTCCCGCAATTTGTCTGTACCATTCCATCTCAAACCTGAAGTAATTTTGAGAAAGTACTATTTCCAAGAGTTCCAATATAAACTCAATTGGAGGTCCTGAGTAATATATAGAGTTGGACAGTATTGATCTCATTGCTTCTATGCCTTCGTGATGGGGTATTACCGTATATAGACTTGATACGTCGCATGTCACAAGAACCACCGGTTCAGAAGGTAGAACAATTTCAGACAGAAGCTTGACGAAACTGGGAGTGTCTTTTATACATGTTGGTAAATGTCCAATCGGTTCCTTGAACAAAAAATCTAGCCACTTGGCCAGAGGTTCTAGGACCCCCCTACTGCTAATACAATGGGTCGACCAGGGGGTCTATCCTTGTTCTTATCTATCTTTGGTAACGTATACAGCACAGGGGTCCTAGGAGTGGGGGATTGCAAAAATTGGTATATTTCCATAGATATATAATTAGAATGTAATCCTCTTATTAGACAATTGTCTATGAGATGCATGACTTCATCCGTGGAATCCTTAGCCAATTTGTCGAATGTAGTATCATCCGATAGTTGTGATAAAATTTCCAGGCGATACTCAGAATAATTCTGGATCACAATCCCACCTCCTTTATCAGCAGGTCTGATTACAATTTTTTTGTCCCCTGCCAAGGATTTAATGATAGCCCGATCTTTCTTGGTGCAATTAGAATGATACTGATGTTTCTTGCTTAAATGATCAGTAGTTTCTTTCTGTACTGATCGCAAAAAAGAAGCCTAGTTGGGCATTGGATCAAACGTACTTTTGGTCCTAAATGTATGGCTCTGATTAGAGCTTTCCACTGATTTGGATTTGAAAAAATCTTTAAGTCTGTTATAGTCGTGACTTAAATATGAATATTAATTTAATAATTAATATATAATAATTAAGCAACAAATAACAACATTAATAGAGTTCGGTATTATGGTCGAATATATAATAGGAAATACACAAAACATTGTAGTATTAAATGTATATTTAATATAATTATAATAACAATTAAACAAATGCTAGCAGAATGTCAATTTACCACAATAATTACACAATACAAAACTACAACATTACTTACAAAAGGCTATAACAGTTGCTAGCTGTTATAATAGATTACTTACACGGCTCCAGCCTGTTTGGCTGGAGCTATACACACAGCTACATGTTCAATCAATGCAAGCAAAGGAAAAAGGAGGCTCAAAATCCTTCTACTATTTGGTTTTATCCAGTAAGTAGGCTGGCCTGTGATGTCACTGCCAGAAGCACATGAGTTAGCACACTGACCCCTAGTGGTGCCTCTAAAGCATTAAGCTCATTATGCTTTTTTATGACAAAAAGTCATTAATTAATAAATACCATTACAAACCACCCTTTGACTTATGTCATAAAACAAACATTATAAACCCGTACATCTTGAATCTACCATATTTTAACAGTACCTGCCCTACAACAAAACCCACCTTTTGAAGAATGATACCCATTTACCCGTAAAGTTATGACACTTTATTGCTTATTCAATTTTTTTTTATTTTTTTTTTTCATTGAGCACATGCATCACCAGTTGGGAAACCTTGGCCTAAAATAAGCACATACCCACCCTTATAATAACCACTGAGCACATGCATTAGCAGTTGGGAAACCTTGGCCTTAAATAGGCAAATACCCACCCTTGTAATAATAGACAACTCAAACCATGTTTTATTAGATTAACCAATGATATTGTGTTCATGTGAGGATGTGTTTTGGAGCTTAATATAGTATTAGACACCACAAACTCATAACACCTATGAATCATGGCACAGACCGACTCGATTTCTGTAGCCTCTGGCTGGTCTGTGTGCCTGGAATTTTCACAAACATTAGTTCTGGAAACTGGATACTCTGTTCTTCGACAGTCTCATAGAACATACGCATGGAGACAGGGATGAATGAAACAGTTCATGATCAAGGACTTTTGTGTGTTTGTGGTCACATTGTTTTGTTTCTTCTTTCTTTATACCATTAACCACCTTGACGTAACAGTGTCCTGCTCCTGATGCATTTGTTCCGACTTTCACCACTCTTAGCTGCAATATTTTTTCTCCTTACAGCAACAGTTGAGCATAGTGTCCAGTGCTTCTTCTTCTTCAGCTTAAAATATCCTTGCTTGAAAGTTCTTGAATGAAAACACAGGCAATGACGAACACAAACATAAATAATAACTGTGCCAATCATCACAAGTACCATTTGATTGTGGTGTCTTAACCATATTTTTTCCTATGGCGTTTGGATAAATACCTACACACCTCTCTTCACATCCAGCACACTCCTGATTCACAGATAAACACAATATCACTGCTGTATCTACCAATTTAACCCAAACACTCGTTATTACTGCTGCATTTACCAATTTAATCTAAACACTCGTTATCACTGCTGTATTTAACCAATTTAATCTAAACATTAACCAAAACAATTACATTCCTATTTACCACCCTTCTATTTAAACATGTATAGATAACCCAAAATGCCTACTTTCTCTTATCCCTCTTATCATTCTTCCGTTTTTTTTTTTTTTTTTAACTGCAACCACTCATGCACTTTACACAGACACAAATCAAGCACCTACTGGACAATGGGGTTCCCTCGTTAGAGCCCTCCCACCCCAGTTTGGTTTACACAAAAATACCCCCTGGTCCCTATGGGTCAATTCCCCCCCTTTCCCAGGCAAGCATACATACATACATACAATAATACATAAGGGTTTCAATTGCAATACAATCACTAGAAATAAGAGAATAGTATGCACAAAATCATAGCATAGACATGTTAAATAGACAATAAAATAAAACATTCAATAGCTCATCATGTGATGGGATTCCAGCATGGTTAAAATTTAGTAGGCCAAAATCTCCATGTGGCATATGTGTATGTTGTGTCAGTTGGTTAGCTACATGTAGCTAGGATACTGTCATCAGTGTACTGAGCATGTGCAGGAATGCAGGAACTGAAATTGCACTTATTTCCTTTGTCTTGGATGAGCCATGTGGTTTGACTAGATGTACAAGTCTATATTCTGCTCATTGATTGGTTAAAGGTATATGTGGGTGTAGCTATTAATGGGAGGAGTTATAGTGCTATATAAGGAATGTACACTATGTGTTGGTCTCTCAGAATGTTGGAACAGGAGTTCATCTGAGACCCGATCGGTAATGTGAATAAAGGCCTGTTACTTCCTGAAGACCTGTGTCCAATATTTCTGTGTTTGGCTTCTGCATGCTTACACTGCAACATTTCTGGTGCAATTGGGCCGGGAACCTCATCGCACGGAAGCTGGCACAGAGATTTGAGACGGTAAACTTTTACCAAACCTTCTACGCTACAATCCTGGACTTCTACTGCGTGGACCTCCTTTCGTCTCGGCGCCACTGGCCTTTTGTCCAGGAGATCATCGGCTTCTGCGCAGTGAGTCCCGGATTGTTCCGTCTATGAGTGAACCCAGGTCCAGTAATTGACAGGTAAGATTGATACCGTTAGAGCGGTAGACCCACAAGGGGTTTTATATTTGGAACCGGTTATTGGCCCCTTCAGTAGAAGGAAGAAGTGAAAAGCGCAACACTTATCTGGAAATTAGACGCTCTGTAGTCAGCCCGTCTAATATAGGTGGTTTGGGTCAGACTGAGTTGTGGTGTAAATAGCTCATGTCGGACACCGGTGTCCTGTCTTGACTAGCGTATCTAGGGTGTAAATTTTGTTCGCTAGGTCGGGGGGACCGGGAGACTAGCATACTCTGTTGTATATTATAGTTTGCTAGATTTCACCCTATCTTAACTAAGTGTGCTCTGTTGTAAATCCAGCCACTAGCTTATTGATAGTTTAATAGACTAGCTGGGTACTGTGTAAATTCTGCCCTCTAGTTCGCTATACGTGGTGTCTGGGCAGCGAAGAACTTATCGAATCTCTGGTGTATAAATAGATCGAAAGCTCTCGAGGTGCTGGCCAGTTAGAATAGTTGGGATTATTGTAAATGTTGTTAAATATATTGTAGTTGGTGAATTGGTTAACTTGTATGTCCTACTAGAAAGTTAGAGCTCTGCTGTCTAGTGGGAGTGTAAATTGTGTGTATAACTGTAAAATAGCGCACGGTACCATAACTACTGACATGTACCATAACCACTGACATTGTGTAAAATTACTAACAATTGCTGTTTTATGTTATATGTATAATACCATAACTGTTACTAACTGATCTGTGACTTTAAAACTGTATTATAACCACTTACTAACTGTACCATAACCACTGACTGTAAAGATGAGGTTACTAGAATGTGATATAGTTGGTTAGTCAAGAGTTGATTTATAGTACGGATAATTGTAGAGATGAATTTGTTGAAATGTTATGTGATCGGTTAGTTTATATGGATTAATAGCGTGGATAGTTGTATGGTTTGAATAATAGTTACATTGATAAGTGTATAGTCTTTGGTGGGTTTTTGATTTAATTTTGTGTGTGCGACGTCGTGATATTGTTGAGCATGTGAGGATCCTGTGTGTGTGTTTGGGCCTAGTGACTGCGCAATGTGTTGCTGGTGATAAGGAGATTGGTGTGACTGTTGAAACTGTGTGTATATTTGTACAGCTTTTTGAATCAGATGCTCTGTTGAAATAATCTTCTGATTCACTAGGCTTTGTCTTGTATGTTTAAAAAAAAAAAAAAAAAAGTAGGGAGTAGCTTGTCCTGGTGGCCGCATGGCCTCCATGTAGCAGTCTTCACTTAAATTTAGTGCAGGGTGTACATGTGGCTGTAACTAGTAGGCTGGAATTCTATGATCAGTTTCTATAAATTGACTGTTGGAAACTGATTTGTTGAAAAATTGCCTTGGTGAATTAAACTGTGTCATATGGGAAACAATGTAGCCATATGGTGGTCAGAACTAAGGACTTAATTACAACTGCTTTGGACATCCCCTCCCCCCCTGGCATCTGATTACCAACCCCCCAAACATCCTCCAGAGCCAGATTAGCCACGCCCATTTCTGGCTGGTATAATCAGTATTTGCACTCTCCCTGCTCTACTGTCCCCGCCTACCCACATACCTATCTGTTCCTGTGTTTCAAACTCTTGTATTTCTGTACTACCCCTCCCCCTAATCAATGATCAATGGTATCAGATGGTATATGGTCTTTTTTTAGTTACTGGATGGGCCCCTCCCAGCTTTGTCCAAAATGTCCCCTTTTACTAAACTACAAACTGAAATGTTTAATTTACCTTAGAACTAAAGATTTAATCAAGCCTAGCTAGCAGGGTGGACATTGATTAAAATAAGTAATAATAAAATAGGACATAATTAATTAAAGTCTATTTGTTTCATTTGACTTTAGGGAGGCACTCTAAGCCACCTACTGGCCATCTTCGGGAGTTACATTGATAATACATTGTTTATAACAGATAGATGTAGGATTGCTTACCCTATTTTAATATATTTATTGCTATAAGGTTTTATTTTATGTATAAATATATTAAAAGTTGAGTTTTCTTATTAGACCCATAAAGATTATTTTGATACAATTACCATCTGGTGACACCTACTGGTAGGTTTTTGGTTTAACACTTTAAAAAAAACGTTTTTTCATCCACCAAATGCTGACTAATAAAATTAGCTCACCCCCTTACACTTATCTTACTACCCGTAGACTGGAACCTATTATTGGGCAGCCTTGCCGAAGTCCCATATTAGACACTGCTTGAGTCAAATAGGTTGTATACTCCCTTTAATCCAGAGGCCCCTGAAAACTTCCGAATGATAGACTCAGCATTTGTCAGCCAGGCCCAAGGTGATAGTAAAAGGAAATTACAGAAATTAGAGGGATTTGTAGGGATGTCCATAATACAGCTAATGGAGATTGCAAATACAGTATATATGAATAGGGAGATGGAGGAAGAACGTAAAATGAGGAAAAAGGCAGATATGCTAGCGGTAGCTATCTTAAGTGTAGAAAGACAGGGAAGTGAATAGAGGAGACGAGAATAGGCTGAGCAAGGGACTTTAAGTAGGAATTAATGTGCGTATTGTAGAAAGGAGGGACATTGGAAGAGTGAGTGTCCACAGAGAGAGCAGTATGAAGGTGATAGACAAGGAGAGAGAAGGGTACGAGGAGGTTATAGTGGTAGTTATAGAGTAAGAGGAAGTTTTAGAGGGAATGGTGGGAATAGTAGAGGAAGTGTTCAAGGAGACAGATACTATCCACCCACGCAGAGACCTAGAGAAAGAGAGGATAGAGATTTTGTGGGTCTGGCTGACACTATCATGGAAGACTATTGATACCGACTGGGCTCCATCCCACTTGGTCGAGCGGAGCCTATGGTCGATGTAGCAATAGGGGGAAAGAGAAGTTCTTTCATGATCGACACAGGTGCTGAACATTCTGTGGTGACTAAGATGGTGGCTCCGCCTTCGGGGAAGACTATAACTGTGATAGGAGCTACTGGGAGAAGTGCAGCTAGACCGGTTCTTAAGAGTCGCACTTGTATTCTGGGAGGCCATGTGGTGAAGCATTAGTTCCTATATATGCCAGAGTGTCCGATTCAACTTTTAGGACGAGATCTATTATCGAAGCTTTAAGCTCAGATAACCTTTTACCTAATGGATTAACATCTCTGAAGTTTAAGGGATTACCAGGCATAATGGCGATATCGGTGCCAAGGGAAGAAGAATGGCGCTTCTATTCCATAGTGACAAGTGTTAACCCTAAGAGTGATGAATCCTTACTTGACATTCCAGGAGTATGGGAAGAAAATAATCCTCCAGGACTTGCTCATAATATCCCACCAATACATATTGAGTTAAAGCTCAGGGTGTATCCTGTTAGCCTTTGTATGTTGTTCTTTTATCTACCCCAACAGCTGTAAAGGTGGCGGAAGTGACTCCTTGGATTCATCATTCTAAGGTTAAACCAGCAGCAGACTCTTGGCAAACTACTCCAGATCCTGAGAATCCTTGCAGGACCCGGTTGAAGCATGCAACTTAGTCGGAGTGACGAGGGGATATCGAGACATTCTAATTAAAAGTCTACAAAGATCATCAAGTAGGTGTTTTGACGGCCATAATAAAGCCTGACCACCTGCCTACGTGTCATAGCCAGAGTATCTTGAAGGGATCTCTGTGAAGGAAAGTGAGGATCAGAAGAACAACATCCTTGCAGCCCTCACAATCGGGAAGCTGAGAGGCCATCGCACGGTCGAAGAAAAATGAGGATTTCAGGAATAATGTGTTTTATTGTGTCTTAGTATTTTTATGATTTTTCAGGAAGGTAGGAGTACAGACATACCGAATTGCGATAGTTGCATTAAGACTACTAAAACAGGTAACCAAATATCCCAAACTCTCATCTGGCACTCACAGTATGAATGTAAGGGATCTGTATCTAAATGTAGATATTTGGATATTGATTATAGTGTGTGCAAGCCAATATCAGGAGAGTCTAAATGTTTTGATCCCCATTTCCAACCCCGTACAATTTGGTTGGTAATTCGGAATAGTAACTCCCAGGGGACATTACTAAATAGGACTGTGATAAGCACCATACATTCCACGGGTATTCTACTATTTGATGCATGTAAGGCGATTTCGGGTAGTGGAAGACTTTGGAATGTATGTGGTAATCTTAAATGGGAACGAACTTATGGGTTTAATGATAAATACTTATGTCCCAGTAAAAGATCTACTGATCCTGATTGCCCAAATAGAGACTAACTTCTGCCCCTATTTGTCATGTGTAGGTTGGGCAACCTGGGAAAAACAGTGGATCAAGATATGATTATCCAAAGGTTGCCTACCACACCATACTGTAAAACTATGTGTGTAACCCCGTTCACATGACCATTTCCAATCTGCAGTACTTTATTGACAGGTTTGGAGGTCTGTTTGGGTTTCAAATATATGGCACAGGAGTAGATTCAGGAACAATAATATATGTAGGTCTTGAAACTGAGACAGTGGCAACTCAAACTCATCAGGTTTCTCATTCCTTCTATGAGGAGATGAGTACTGAGGATAAAATTCCCCATAATGTTAACAACCTATTTATTGATTTGGCTGAGGGTATTGCAGGTAGTCTTAATGTAACTAATTGCTATGTGTGTGGAGGTACTAATATGGGAGACCAGTGGCCATGGGAGGCAAAGGAAATATGGTACCCTGGCTCTGAGACATATGAACAACAGATACCTTTCCAGTCTGATCATCAAGTAAGTACTAGAAGTAAATTGGAATGGTGGTTAAAAACCTCCATTATAGGTCATGTTTGTATAGCCAGGAAAGGGACAATGTATAACACGTCTGTAGGTGAGCTAACTTGCTTGGGACAAAAAGCCTATAATGTTAATACTAAAAATACTACTTGGTGGTCAGCTTCAAATGTCTCGGAACCTACTAATCCGTTTGCCAATTACACTCATTTAAAGGAGGTATGGTTTGACTTATCGGCTACATCTAGTTGGAAAGCCCCAGCAAATTTATACTGGATTTGTGGTAATAAAACTTATTCGGAGTTACCACAAGATTGGGAAGGGGCATGTGTATTAGGTATGCCAAAGCCATCCTTCTTCTTGTTGCCAATCGAAACAGGAGAGACCTTGGGAGTTAAGGTTTACGATGTAAATCATAAAAGGGAGAGAGCATCCTTGAATATAGGTAGCTGGGAAGATAATGAGTGGCCCCCTCAACGTATTATTAATTATTATGGACCTACTACTTGGGCAGAAGATGGCACTTATGGATATAGAACTCCGATTATATATGCTCAACCGCATTATTAGACTACAGGCGGTAGTTGAGATTATTACTAATGAGACAGCTCAAGTGCTTAATCTTCTAGCTAAGCAAAATACCAAGATGTGATCAGCCATATACCAGAATAGGCTAGCCCTTGATTACTTACTAGCAGTAGAAGGAGGTGTATGCGGAAAGTTTAATCTAAGTAACTGTTGTCTGCACATAGATGATGAAGGGCAGGCAGTGGCTGAACTTACAAGCCACATGGTTAAATTTGAGCATGTACCTACTCAGGTCTGGAATGGGTATAACCTAAGTAGTTGGTTTGGAAGTTGGTATGAGCAGCTTGGAGGAATTAAGACATTAGTAGGAGGAGTAGAATTTATTATATTTTTTTTGTGCCTCCTCCTGCCCTGTCTAATTCCACTAGTGGTAAGGTCCCTACATAGTATTATAGAGAGTACTATAGAGAGAAAGACAGCTGCCCATGTAATGGCTGTCTGGAAGATATGATCCCCTAGCCCGAAGAGAATATATTCAGGATGAAGAATGTTGAAGGAGTTTTTAAGATGCTTACAAGGTCTACTCTGGTTCAATGGCTACTTGAGAGATGTAGGTAAAACTGTGATTGGTGATGCATCTGGAATAATGTTATATCAGAGGCATCAAAGGGGGGAATGTGATGGGATTCCAGCATGGTCAAAATTTAGTAGGCCAAAATCTCCATGTGGCATATGTGTATGTTGTGTCAGTTGGTTAGCTACATGTAGCTAGGATACTGTCATCAGTGTACTGAGCATGTGCAGGAATGCAGGAACTGAAATTGCACTTATTTCCTTTGTCTTGGATGAGCCATGTGGTTTGACTAGATGTACAAGTCTATATTCTGCTCATTGATTGGTTAAAGGTATATGTGGGTGTAGCTATTAATGGGAGGAGTTATAGTGCTATATAAGGAATGTACACTATGTGTTGGTCTCTCAGAATGTTGGAACAGGAGTTCATCTGAGACCCGATCGGTAATGTGAATAAAGGCCTGTTACTTCCTGAAGACCTGTGTCCAATATTTCTGTGTTTGGCTTCTGCATGCTTACACTGCAACAATCAAAGGTCAACATTTAAACACTGGTCTCCATCTGATATTCTATCTGTGTTCCAATGTCCACCTCTGGTTTCTGCTACATCTGAAAAGGTTAGGAAACAGATCAGGATTACTTTCCTAGTCACTTATAGCGTATACTGCAAATATTTTACTTAGAATATATATATATATATACACACAGACATGTAAACACATTCCTTCAGCTTTTCATTTTATAAACAATTTGTTCAACAAGGTAACTTTCTTAATTTTCTACTCGGCTCTTAAAATAAACAATCAGCTAATAGCTGCATTCTGCATCTTCCTTGCAATTCAGGAGTACACAACACTAAAAGTCCAATACTCAGTACCCCCTAGCCTAAATTCCCCACCCACTACTGTAACTAAGTTTACAGCCCACGTTATGGCAGTTCACCCGCTAGGCAGATATGCAGTACCCCCTAGCCTAAATTCCCCACCCGCTACTGTAACTAAGTTTACAGCCCACGTTATGGCAGTTCACCCGCTAGGCAGATATGCTCAGCACCCCCTAGTTTAAGTTCCCCACCCGCTACTGTAACTAAGTTTACAGCCCACGTTATGGCAGTTCACCCGCTAGGCAGATATGCAGTACCCCCTAGCCTAAGTTCCCCACCCGCTACTGTAACTAAGTTTACAGCCCACGTTATGGCAGTTCACCCGCTAGGCAGATATGCTCAGTACCCCCTAGCCTAAGTTCCCCACCCGCTACTGTAACTAAGTTTACAGCCCACGTTATGGCAGTTCACCCGCTAGGCAGATACACAATACACCCACGTATTACTTATTTTATATTTCCTGGTCTCTCAGGGATATACAATAGCTAATCCCCTTCCCAGGGCAATATAAAACTGACACAAACTTTTAAGCAATACAGGATTTCAAATGGACTTATGAGTAACAAATTTCTAGCCAACTTAAACATGTTTAATAACTTTCCACCCTTTGGTTAAATTATAGAGGAGTGAACCACAACACCTCTTCCGCCTCTGAAAGGATATAGGTCAATATGTCTCAAAGTTCAACACTTCTGACAGCTATGAGTGACTCCCTATTAATTTCTAGCCTTTCCACGGACATGCTTGCACCTCGCGGCTAAGGGCCTGCACAACTAACCACCCTGTGATGGCAGTGGCTTTCCGCATGGGGGTGACCGCCCCCGCAAAATTATAGAGGAGCAAACATACAGCAGCCTCTTTTCCGGCTCGATTAAAGGTTCTGGGCCAATATGTCTGCAATTTAACCAGTACACTCACGTATCACTTATTGTATATTTCCTGGTCTCTCAGGAATTTCTATTAGATAGCGTATGCCCTTCCCAGGGCACTATACAACAAAAACTAGTCACCAAGGGTCTCTATGGTCATGATAGGCCACCCTACCACTAGTGTAATACGCCCTTTTTTTAAATATATTTCCTGGTCTCTCAGAGATTTTGCCTATCCCTTTCCCAGAGCAATATATATAAACAATTACAAATAAGTTACAAAACGCTACTTATAAGTAATACAGGGTTTCAAATAATAATAATACAGGATAGAACTGCACAACAACTATTGGGTATGCTCCCCCTTATCCGGACACGTTTAAATACCCCCTAGCTCAGGTTCCCCACCCGCTACTGTAACTAAAATCACAGCCCACGTTATGGAGGTTCACCCGCTAGGCAGATACACCCTAATTCAAAGCATGGAAATATTAAAATCAGTTATAGATGGCTTCTAAAATAATATAAATCTTAATCTGAGCCCCTACACTTACTTTGTTAAAAATGCTAACTTGTTAAAATATTCAGACTAAATAGGACAAAGGAATTATTTTACCATTTTTTCAGTTAATTTGTTACCAGTTCCTGCATATGTCCAGTAATTCCTTAGTCCTGAATAATAAAGCTGAAAAACACTCCACAAATTGATTAGTTTAGGCAATTACATTTACAAAACAATGCAGTTTATTTTTTCTCATACAACAAGACTACCCACCCCCAACAAGGACAAATTCTCCCCCAGCTGTAGCTGAAAAGCATGGTCACGCAGCTGTTAAAAAGGTGGTCTCTCCTTCATGAGTCAAAATCATATATATATTTATACTAATATTCTGTGTATACGCACACATAAATCTATTATTCACTGAATCTGCTTTACTAACTAGACAAATCCATGAATGCCAAACAAATGTAAATTAGTACACAAACATGGTCAAATTTAGCAATAAAACCTGGTGAACTAGTTTAGTGAAAAGTCTTTTCCTATGCAAATGGTAGCAAACAATGAAACTAGGCCTCAACTCATTCACACCATGTGGTCAATGGTGGATTAAAATCCACATGGTCAGACAAAAAGTTAAATTGTTTTTTGTTTTATATATAAAAATGACCAAAGGTTGGTAAAACGTAACAAGCAACACAATAATTCATCACTATGTTCTACAGCAAGAGATACATTAAAAACAAATATCTAATCCCTATCTGCTATCTGCATTCATTCCATTACATATTAAATCATCATTCATTTATTCACTTCTATACAGACAGACAATTGACTCTATGTATTAAACAAAATGCATAACTTTTGTATTTTCCCTAATATTCCAGCCTAATCCCATATCTTCGTCGCCAAGTGTTATAGTCGTGACTTAAATATGAATATTAATTTAATAATTAATATATAATAATTAAGCAACGAATAACAACATTAATAGAGTTCGGTATTATGGTCGAATATATAATAGGAAATACACAAAACATTGTAGTATTAAATGTATATTTAATATAATTATAATAACAATTAAACAAATGCTAGCAGAATGTCAATTTACCACAATAATTACACAATACAAAACTACAACATTACTTACAAAAGGCTATAACAGTTGCTAGCTGTTATAATAGATTACTTACACGGCTCCAGCCTGTTTGGCTGGAGCTATACACACAGCTACATGTTCAATCAATGCAAGCAAAGGAAAAAGGAGGCTCAAAATCCTTCTACTATTTGGTTTTATCCAGTAAGTAGGCTGGCCTGTGATGTCACTGCCAGAAGCACATGAGTTAGCACACTGACCCCTAGTGGTGCCTCTAAAGCATTAAGCTCATTATGCTTTTTTATGACAAAAAGTCATTAATTAATAAATACCATTACAAAGTCTCAATGAGCGACCAAACTTATATAGCTCAACTTCCCATTCCTGAGCACTAGGTCCAGAAGTGGGAACAAAAGATAATCCCTTACTCAAAAGAGATATCTCATCCAATGTAAGTGGTCTAGAGGATAAATTGAAAATTGGAGCTACATCTGGTGTCAAGGTGGCCTCCCTCTTGCCCCAGAAGGTACGCCCCTTTTGGCCCCGTCTAGTAACGTGTCTCCTCCTGGTGTTCTGTGTCTGCTCCGAAATCTGGTCCGTATCCCCAATCCGTCTGTTGCAATATCTAAAAAAAGGCTGTGTTGTACCAACTGTACTCCCAGATTGGTTAGTTGAAAATGACTCCAATACAGGTTCAGATTCAGAGGTAGATTCCCCTGATGTCTTATCTATTGTGTATTGTCTAGGTTTCCGGATGGGTCTCCGCTTTTTGATAAAATGTGGTACTTCAGACTTCCCACTCAGCCATCTGTATACACGATGTTCCTTGTAATCAGCTGATACTTTATCCTGTTTTTCTCTTTTAAATCTAATCAAATCCGTTTTATAGTTCTTAATGTTGTCCTCTAATTTTAATAGTGTTGGAGCAGCCTCAGGTGCTGATAACAGATATATATACAGGGAGTGCAGAATTATTAGGCAAATGAGTATTTTGACCACATCATCCTCTTTATGCATGTTGTCTTACTCTTAGCTGTATAGGCTCGAAAGCCTACTACCAATTAAGCATATTAGGTGATGTGCATCTCTGTAATGAGAAGGGGTGTGGTCTAATGACATCAACACCCTATATCAGGTGTGCATAATTATTAGGCAACTTCCTTTCCTTTGGCAAAATGGGTCAAAAGAAGGACTTGACAGGCTCAGAAAAGTCAAAAATAGTGAGATATCTTGCAGAGGGATGCAGCACTCTTAAAATTGCAAAGCTTCTGAAGCGTGATCATCGAACAATCAAGCGTTTCATTCAAAATAGTCAACAGGGTCGCAAGAAGCGTGTGGAAAAACCAAGGCGCAAAATAACTGCCCATGAACTGAGAAAAGTCAAGCGTGCAGCTGCCACGATGCCACTTGCCACCAGTTTGGCCATATTTCAGAGCTGCAACATCACTGGAGTGCCCAAAAGCACAAGGTGTGCAATACTCAGAGACATGGCCAAGGTAAGAAAGGCTGAAAGACGACCACCACTGAACAAGACACACAAGCTGAAACGTCAAGACTGGGCCAAGAAATATCTCAAGACTGATTTTTCTAAGGTTTTATGGACTGATGAAATGAGAGTGAGTCTTGATGGGCCAGATGGATGGGCCCGTGGCTGGATTGGTAAAGGGCAGAGAGCTCCAGTCCGACTCAGACGCCAGCAAGGTGGAGGTGGAGTACTGGTTTGGGCTGGTATCATCAAAGATGAGCTTGTGGGGCCTTTTCGGGTTGAGGATGGAGTCAAGCTCAACTCCCAGTCCTACTGCCAGTTCCTGGAAGACACCTTCTTCAAGCAGTGGTACAGGAAGAAGTCTGCATCCTTCAAGAAAAACATGATTTTCATGCAGGACAATGCTCCATCACACGCGTCCAAGTACTCCACAGCGTGGCTGGCAAGAAGGGTATAAAAGAAGAAAATCTAATGACATGGCCTCCTTGTTCACCTGATCTGAACCCCATTGAGAACCTGTGGTCCATCATCAAATGTGAGATTTACAAGGAGGGAAAACAGTACACCTCTCTGAACAGTGTCTGGGAGGCTGTGGTTGCTGCTGCACGCAATGTTGATGGTGAACAGATCAAAACACTGACAGAATCCATGGATGGCAGGCTTTTGAGTGTCCTTGCAAAGAAAGGTGGCTATATTGGTCACTGATTTGTTTTTGTTTTGTTTTTGAATGTCAGAAATGTATATTTGTGAATGTTGAGATGTTATATTGGTTTCACTGGTAATAATAAATAATTGAAATGGGTATATATTTGTTTTTTGTTAAGTTGCCTAATAATTATGCACAGTAATAGTCACCTGCACACACAGATATCCCCTAACATAGCTATAACTAAAAACAAACTAAAAACTACTTCCAAAAATATTCAGCTTTGATATTAATGAGTTTTTTGGGTTCATTGAGAACATGGTTGTTGTTCAATAATAAAATTAATCCTCAAAAATACAACTTGCCTAATAATTCTGCACACCCCTGTATATATATATATATATTTTTTTTTTCTCTTTGGATATATTTAAACTTTGTCCCTTTTTTTCTTCTATATTTTCACCTTGCTGGTGTTATTTAAAATGTTTTCCCTCCCTTTTTTTCCCCCCCTCTTGTTGTTTCTATTCCCCTCCTTGTGGGTGCTGCTGCTGAGCTAATTAGGGGGAGTGCCCCTTAATTTCCACCTGTGTGGGATTTGTATTGCCAATATAAACCCACTACTGACTCACAGAGCTTGCTCACTGGAGTTTGCTTGAAAGTAGGCTATTTCAAGTAGTCTCTTTTAAGTAGGAGTTAAAACAACAGGAGTTGAAACTACAAGGGAGTTTAACCCCTTAAGGACGGAGCCAAATGTACAAGTTGTGATCAAACCAAAATGTAAACAAACCACAGAATTTGACTCTCTGTCTGTTCAACTATAATATACCTCTTTCATACTAAGTGCACCTGATACCGGAGAAACTGACGGAAGCAAAGCACAGAGAGATGGACACAGGTTTCTTCAGGAAGGAAGAGATTCTTTATTGGATCACCGATCGGGACTCAGAGGGAATAATGTCACCAAAAATACAGCAAGTTCTGAGCCCTGAACAATAGTGCAGGCTCCCTATATAGGCACATAACTCCTCCCATATTAAGCTCCACCCGCACATTCTCTTGACCAATCATTACAAATAAGAATTAACTTCCTGCTTGACCGCATGGCTTGTCCAACACAATGGAGGAGGGGAATACTACATCCTGTATTCTTGCACATGCTCCGTACACTACTGATCGTATCTTGCCTCGTGCAACCAACTGATCGATACGTCAGCATATGCACGTACACATGCCACGTGGTAATCTCGGCCTACTAAATTTATTTTTACGAGATTCCACCACATTCCCCCCTTTGATGCCTCTTGATATTTTACAATTACTTGAGGCATCACTTAACCTTGGTTTGCATACACCACAAGTTACCTTTGAACCAGACCAGACTTATCCTATGATGTGAATCTTCAACACTCGTCTTCCTGCATTGGTTCTCCCTGATCTAGAGCCTTATATTTATAAATTGCCATTATCTGTGCAGCAGCCTTCCTCTCTGCTATATTTTCTATCAGGCTTTGCACAGACCTAACTACTAAGGGTATAAGACACGGCAGGAGTAGACACAACATTAAAATCAGTAGGACTCCACCTACCACTGCCTTAAGCCCTCCAAACCACTCATACCAGCTATCAAACCAACTACTTGGATTGTACCCTTTCCATACCTGAGTAGGCACATGCGCTAGTTTAACCATATGGCTAGTAAGCTCAGCTACTGCTTGCCCTTCGTCATCTATTTGAAGACAGCAATTGCTCAGGTTAAACTTCCCACATACACCTCCCTCTACTGCCAAAAGATAATCCAAGGCTAATCTATTTTGGTAAACTGCTGTCCTCATCCTGGTATTATGCTTCGCTAGAAGATTGAGCGCTTGTGATGTCTCGTTAGTAATGATCTCAACCACCGCCTGTAACCTTATAATGTGGTTGAGCATATAAATAGGGGTTCTATAACCAAAGGTACCATCCTCTGCCCACGTGGCTGGCCCATAATAATCTATAATACGCTGGGGAGGCCATTCATTATCTTCCCAGGCACCTATCTCTATGGGTCCCCTTTTCTTCCTATGATTCACATCATACACTTTAACACCTAAAGTCTCACCTGTTTCAATAGGCAACAAGAAGAAGGATGGTTTTAACATACCCAACACACATGCCCCTTCCCAGTCCTGTGGTAACTCCGAATAGGCCTTCTTACCACAGATCCAGTACAAATTCGCTGGGGCTCTCCAGTTAGATGTGATGGATAGATCAAACCATACGTCCTTTAAATTGGCATATCTTGCAAACGGGTTAGATGGTTCTGAGACATTTGAAGCCGACCACCAAGTTGTATTCTTTGTATCATCATCATAAGCTTTT